AGCCCCTAATAAAACTATTAAAAAAATTGAAAATATATTTTTAGTTACATTTTCTAATATAAGGCTACTAATTCCAATAAAATTTATACAATTAGTTTATGTTAAAACCATGAATTGGTTTGGGGAAGCTGGAAGACTTCAATATCTTCTTTTTCTATTGATCAGCAAAATCTTTCTCTCTCTTTATTTATCCAAGTTTTCTTCTCTCAGCATATTTAGTGGTATGTTTCTTTACTATGACCTGCAAGTTATTTGCTAAATTGTTTCTAAGTATTTTATTCTTCATTTTTATTACAAGTGCTGGTTTACTAACATGTATACAAAATTGGTTATTATTCCTAGAATATGTAATTTTTAGATACCATGAATGTGCATTGGTATTAAATGAGCAAATATGTATAGCACAGACTGAATATACTGTGCACTTTGGTTTTTATTCAAGATACATGTAAACCTTCCCAAATGCAACCTTGTTAGTCATACACTTGACCCCTCAAGCTAATACTCCCTTCAGTCGTCTATCCTTATCTGAACAGCAGGGAAACGTGGCCTGTCAGGGCACGCAGCTGTCTCCACTATGTCCAGGGCCTCCCATGAGCTGTGACCCACTGAGATGCTAACAGCAAAGCACAAATTAGTCCAAAGCATTTGAATCACTAGCTACTCTGATCTTAGCTGTCTTTCAGAATTTGTTACACAACTTGTTACCTAAAGTCTAAAACTAACATTTGGTAAAGAAATTTATTTTCAGAAAAATGTATCTCTTCCTACATACTATCAGATACTTTGTTTTTTCTAGCTCTCCCCAGCCCCCACAAAATAAATAAATGGGAAGACATGACACCCTAAGGTGCCTGGGAGAGGGAGGGGTGAACTCTGCAGTTTCTGCGAGCAATGAGACTGGTCTCGGAGGCAACCATGGGAGGACAGGACGGGAATGAGGGATGAATGGGAAAGCAGAGCTCAGGCGACCCCCGGTACCCCTCTTTCAGACCCTAAATGTAGACTTGGAGGACTTAGCATTAAATTATTTTAAGGATCCTCTTCCTACTCCTCGTCCCTGAAGTCAGCACTCACGGTTCACCTATTGGAACATGGTGTTGTCAAGGATCCAATAAAGATGTCACTGTCCACCAGTGGTCACAGCCACTTTGCACATCGGAAGCACTACCAATCCCAACTAAACATGCCCTATCCTGATACACACGGGATGGGCCCTTCCTGTCAGGAGACCATGCTGATGTGATGCTCTCTAGTTTTCCCAGTATGGGAATGTAAAGGCATTATTTTGTATCCCAAATAATTGGTTTACCAAAGGGAATAATGCTGCTTTGGGATTAAAGTCATCCTACCAACAGGGTAATAGTCAATATACCTGACTGACATACAGATGTACGGACACAGCCTGGAAGAAAAGGAAATTTAAAGTGTCAGTATTTCAGTGAGCTAAGCATCTACTCTAGCTCATGTTTCTCCTAGGTAATTTCCATCTGCTGGACAGGCCAAAATTATTGTTCAAATTTAAGTACGGAGGCTAAGGTCATATCCAAGAGAAGATTTTTCAGAGATGAGACTCAAATCTAGGTCTCCTTGAAACATTTTCCTGTGGAAGAAGCATTTCATTGCAGTTAGTGCCTTTAGTAACCAAATGGTAGAGAAAAACAAAAGC